TCTGCAGCCTGCTCTGAGCTACCATCGTATGTTTCCAATAGGTCGCGAACAGGACATACTCACAGGAAATGGATATTTCCCCCCTCACACCTGGCTCCCTCTTTTAAGCTTCTGGAACCCAAATCAGTAAAGGATATTTAACACAGTATTTATTTTTGAAGTTGTTTCTTATGGCACTATAAAGGTTATACATTGTCTAAGTTATACAACTACAACTCTAGAGACAGAAAATATTTTCTCTCACTCAGGTTGACAAGGTTGTAGACATCAGAAGCTGAGCCCAGCTGCTTGTTTTGGAAGAGATTTTCCCAGAGGCAGGCCCAGAGCAAAGAGTATGAGTGAGGGTCATTTTTTAAAGAAAGCTTCCCAGCTAGAGTTGCTTTATAAAATACAGGATTCCTAGTTAAATTTGAATTTAATAAAAACTGCAAACACTAATTTAACAAAACTATGTCTCAAATGTAACATCAGACTTACTAATGCAAAAAAACACACAATACAGCAAAACAAACCAAAGCAACAACAAAACTATTGTTTAACTGAAATTCAAATTTTACTGGATGTCTTATATTTTTGTTTTCCTAAGCCTTACCGATAGATTTCTTTCTCCTTAAAATAGCCGCTACATATAATGTCTGCCTTCTCCTTCCCATAATGCCCCATTTCCTGCCACAAACTCCCCATCTTCCCATAATCCATGGCATTCCCACCTAAAACCCAATCCCAAGATGGCTTCCTTCCTGCCCAAACTGGTTTTCTTCTTCCCATGATGCAGTGTTTCCTGCCTAAATGCAGCCCTCAAAATGGCTTCTCCCACCAAAAGATAACCTTCTTTTTCCTAACATGCCCCTTCCTGGCAACTAGTGATGTCACAAATTCCTCCAATCCCTTGGTGACATGCCTTGTAAACCCTCCAATCCCTCACCATCATACCTCTCAATCCCCACCCAGCCTCTATAAAGGTTCTCCAGCCCCAGCCACATTGCTGCCCTCTTTGTTCAGGAGGCAGCCCAGCAGATTGTCCCTTCTCCTTAATAAAGGCTTGTGGTGGTACTGGTCTGGTCTTGGTTTTCAGCTCTTTTACCTGACACTGATCAAGAGAAAATTATAAAGATAGAGTGGAATCATTAAATCAGATGATAAGTCAGACACACTGATTTCTACGGAAGCCCAGATTCAGTCAAATTCTGCAGGGAGATCTGAGAATATATGAACCTTCAGAGTTCACCCTGCCTCAAAGAAAAGGCACTTTCACATCACAGGATTTTTGTCAATGGATCTGCGTATGTTTGAGGTGGGGATGAGAGATGCAAAACTCTTAACTCTCAGGCACTATGGAATCTTCCCATCAGCTGGCCATGTGGATCCAGGGTCCAAAGCATTTATGAAAGATCACAGGTAGAATTGGTTAGTTTCAAATCACACGGGAGCCAATGTATAAATCCACACATATGGTATGAGGAGTGCATAGTGAAATAGCCCTGGGCAATATTGTCTTTTCTTAATATCTCAAGCAAAATCCAAATTTATTGAAATTCTCTGGGGAGCTCACAGTATAACCTAGAACCTGTAGAATTCTCTTGGAACTATGCTCTTGGAAAGGTGGCAAAGTTCATACCTTTGGATCAATCTGGGCTCCATTCCACTGCCACCATGGTTACTGATTTCTGACTGGCTGCCCAAGTCACATATTTGTTCTCCTTCTCAGTGGGTCTTCTAGAATAGAAGGGCTGCTACTGGATGCTGGAAATTACAGTCTGACAGGTGCTGACAACCCATGCATATAGTCAGCAAGCACACCTCAGCCCTGCATTCGTTTTCCACATTATTGTTGGGAGCAATGCTACATAAAATCATTTGGGAAAAATCATTTGGTTAGCCTAGTTCTCTTGCCTACAGCCCAGCTACAGAATAACTCCAGTTTGGCCTCCGGTCACAACTGAGACTTCAGTGATCCACTGATGCTGTGATTCTCCAGGACAAGAAACATCCTGGGAGAACAAACATCTGCTCAGTTCCTCATTGTTCTTGGACTGTTAACATCTTGTTTACCCGAGATGTACTGAACTCTCTGCAAGCCTTTTGTTACACCTTGTTCATCCCAATATGAACTATTGAACTCTCTGCAAGTCATTTGTTACATTTGTTTCTCCCAATGTACTGAATTCTCTGCAAGTCATTTGTTACGAGGTACTGAATAAAAGGTGCAGTAAGCTGGGGGCTTTTGTCTTTGCCGCCCAGAACAGCACTGATCAGACCCAAAGCTCAGCTTCTTCTCAGTCTCATTTTTCTACCTTTCCTGTAATTTGCCACGTGTTGCCGTGGCTCGCAGGAGACCAGGACTCACTGCAGAGGTTCTGGTAACGTCCCCTTCCCCTGTTCCCTACAATTATAAATGACAAAAATAAGAGAAATGGATAAATATTTTATATAATTCCTTTCATCAAATGTTCACTGAAAACCTATTAGGTGTTCAAGGTTTCTCAGAATTGTCAAATTGCATCTGTTTAGCCATCATTCAGATTGATATTTTTTAAAGGAAAATTAAATTTTTTTTTCTATTCAGAGATATCCAAAATGGTTCTATTGGATTTAAAACAAATTTACAAGTTCCTAATGTACTCTACAAGCTTCGTCATCTACAGCATCCGGTCACATCTTCTGTGCTTATTCTTATGACTTCCCTACTGCTTTGGCTGCAGATATCTTTGATTTCTATGCTTCTAAAATCATAAAGTACATTTTTACCTTAACCCATGGCATTTCCTCTGTCTGAAACATTCTTCATTAGAAGACCCAAATCCTGCTGCCTTGTCCTTCCATGAGGCCTCTGCTGACCTCTCATCTCCAGATGACCTTCCCTCTCTAAATTCCCATGTTACATCAATGTGCAAGAACAACTCACATCTGTCATATTTGTCATCCTTTGCTGCTTCATCCTTCCTTAAAATTGGCATCAGTGACACTAATATATATATCTATATTTGTATAATTTTATACATATCTATCTCAAGATATCGATCTTCTACATCTATCTCTCATCTATCTATTTACATCTGAAGAGAGCAAATAAGTGCCCTTTTGAGTTCACTGTTAAATCTCAAATGCTAAGAGACCCTGGCCAACAGGAGCTATTCAAAATAATAGTTGAAATAAGGTATATTAATGTATTTATTTTAATATATTTATTGGAATAAAGCAGGAAGGGAGAGAGGAATGAAGGAAGGAAGAAGGAAAGAAGTTAGCCTAGATTCTAGTTTACCAAGAGCAAGGAAAGATGATAAGAGCTCAAGTATCTTGCCACTTCTTCTTTTCTAAAGCATCTTCACTTCCTTGCTTCCATTAAAAACTTGACAGTCTGCAGAAGCCTGCAGTCCTCTCACTCTCATGTGCCCCTTGCCTTACATCTAGGTGTACACTGACACACCCATGTTCTAATGATTGCTCTTCCTCCCTGAGCAACCTGCCCTGTATTCTGAGGGTCCTACCATCCAGCTGTTCCCCCCTCACTCCCCTCTTTGGGAAAACGTGATCTTGATCATTAAAGCACACACTCTACTTCACATCACAAGCCCCATCTTTATTCCACCAATATCATTTGCTTCCGTCTGTAACACGGTGTCAGCAGATTCTCAAACTGTAGAAGCCATGGTCTGATGATGACTTAATAGAGTAAGAAATAGAAAGCTTAATTAAGGAGAGTGCGGATATCACATCTGATTTGCTAAGCAGCCTGGGCCCTGAATGTGCAATCTTGACTACCAATAAAATGTGTTATGAGCCATGTAATATTGGTACCAAAGAGCAGAAATCTGAAAGCTTGTGGAGTAGGTAGAGCATTATATACTTTTAAAATATTATTATAATTCCTAGAATATTAAATGAGCTACAAAAACCACAATTCAAAAAATGTTTGGTACATTGGGATACGGTTTTCAAAAAACAACTAGAATATTTATTTTATACATTGAAGTTGTTTTTAATTTTTTTCTCTGTGAGTTTAAGTTACACAAACCCTTTTTAAAAAGTAAATTATAGGGCCAGGGATTTAGCTCAGTGGTGCTCCCACCTGCCTCGCAAGCACAAGGTCCCAAGTTTGATTCCCAGTAAGCTACAAAAAAAAAAAAAGTAAATTATAAATTGAAAAAGGTGTCCTTCCCTTCCTCCTCTGGTTTGCAGCAGTAATCAATGCTCTGGGAAATAATTGTCATAGAAGTCAGGGTTGCCCATGGAGGCACACAGTAGGACTAACCTTTCTCATATCTACTGAATAGGCCAAGTCCTGTGACTTGATTTGATCAATAAAAAGAATAGAACTTATATCAGTCACACCAATAATGAAGTTTGAAGATTAGCAGGTGGATTATCTCACTACTTTTACATTATTTGCTTCTCATTGATTTGAGAGGAAGCACTCTGCCTGGGTCATAAATGACTATGCTAAAATGATGCAAATAATCTATGGTGCAGATAAAATGGCTTTGCTTTCCTAACTCACTGGGTTAGAGACTTTTTGTTCCTGAAGCATGAGCTTGTCCACCTTATTCCAGGGTGTGTGGGGGGAAGCCAAGGTCAGGAAAGGAAACTATGAGAAATACTAGTGTTTTGCTATACACGGGATGAGTTCTAATGTGAAATGATGGCATGGAAAGGATGAGTATTATACTCATGATTGAAAGTCAGAGAGCAAACACAAGTTAAAAAGTACATTAAAAAGATGCTAAAAGAAAAACAACAAAAACAAAAATAGTGATCCAGGCAGCAAAACCTAGAAATCAGCACTCACAGATAAGATTACAAAAGGTGAAGATGATCAAATAGTTATGTTTTTGCCAAGTTCTCTGGGTTGCTTGTAGAATTTTCCTGGACTGAAGGAGGCACGAAGCTGCTATTGGCCTTGGCTAGGCTTAGACCAAGAAGGAAATCAACATAAATCAATTGATAAATCAATAAAGATTATTATATTTAGGTATTATGTTGAATTTTTTTTATATTTACAGCCCATGAGAGACAACTACTAACTAAATTGGTCTGATGGTGAATTATCTGAGCAACTGCCATAGAAATGCTCTACAGCCAGTGGAGACTAAAGAGATAACACAATCCTGTACAGCACTGAACACTGAAGATCCGGTGGAACATTGGTAAAGCTATTACAGGTTCGTTACTAAAGCACAAATCGTCTATGGAAATATATGAGAATATTACAAAACACTGCATAGTCTTGTAGGTCAGGGTGGTGACTCGTTTAAGGGAACTGAATGTTGAGCAGTGCTAGCTGAGCTACAATCCTACCACAGCCACTTCTTACATGAATGGTCTTTGGTAAGTCATCAAAGTGCCTGTCTTTGAGTCTCTTTATTTTTAAAATTAGAAGAATGTCTACCTAAATTCAAGTTATGTGAACTATGCTTCTACAAATAACCTTTTTTGATGCTCTGCATGACAATGTGAAGGTCTAGAAAGGGCCTCGGAGCCTGATGAACTTGCGAAGTGCCTGCAAGATAACGAACATATGTGCTGAAGGAAGTGCGAACGAACACTCAGACACTGAGCCAGCTGCTTTTGTACACAGAAGGTTATACAATCTGACTGCTGTCTGCACCTCGCCGGAGGATCAGGACATCCAGTTCTTCTCAAAGTGGCCCTCAAGCATTTTGTATAACACTCAAAGGAACCAAGAACTACATGCACGAAGCCACCACCTGGATTCACCAGCCATCAGTCACCCCACTTCTTTCCTGCCTGGGCCTCTAGTTCTTGTTCTGCATCCATAAAGTGATTGGCGCTTCCCTCCCATCAGGATGCCCTGTGCTCCCAGCCAGTGAGGCTGGCTCAGAATATTCTCAAACTGTGGAGTCCAGAATGCATTCACCTCTCCCTGTTCTTTTCAGCAAAATTATTTCCTACTAATGATCATTATTTTCTAAATCACCCTTTAATTCTAAATCAATTAATAAACCCAAATTAAATTTAAACTTCTAAAATCCAATACAATGTTTCACATGGAAACTAAAATCTGCATTTACCAACGAGAAATTTTATATAGCTCACAAACCATCTCACTATTTTGAACATGAAACACAAAACCAGCAGGTGATCCCTAAGAAGGGCAAGACTGCCATGAACTGCTTTCCTTTCGTTTGTCCTTCCAGTCCCTGGTATCTTGCTCAGCCTGTCTCTCCTGCTGGAATAAATCACAGGGGCAGGAAACCCAAACTGCACCCAGAGCAAACTCAAGTGGTTTAGACTCTCCACAAGGTAAGTCATGATATGCCTCAGAGTCCCTGCCCTGCTGAGAATTCTAAGAATTAACCTCTAGGAAGACTACTATGTCTAGTAAAAGACAAATAATAAAGCCATGTGTGATAGCACAAGCCAGGATTCCCAGTAATCTGACAGCATGAGGGAGGAGGTTCCAAGTTCAAGATCAGCCCCGACAATTTAGTGGCTTAGCAAGAAGACCCTTTCTCAAAAATGGAAAGGAGGACTGGGGATACAGATCAGTGTGAATTAGTTCTCTGGGTTTAATCCTCAGTACTGCCAAACAAACAAAACAAAGGTAAATAATAGAAATGCTCAATTGAAGAAATGTGTGTGTGTGTGTGTGTGTGTGTATGTGCATTTGTGTACTTAGAACTCAACTGTATCTGAAGCAGTTCTTAAAAATTTGAACGGAGCAGGGGATTTAGCTCAGTGGTTTCATTGCCTGCCTCACAAGTGCAAGGTCCTGAGTTTGATCCCCGGTACCAAAAAAAAAAAAAAAGAAAAAAGAAAAAAAGAAAAAGAAATTGAAGCAAAATATTTTGTTCATGTTGTTTCCAGGAAGAATACATCATCACCGACATTGCTTAGAATTTCTGGTAACATAACTGATGAGAGCAGAGAGACTGACACAAAAGCAGCTTCAGGGTCCTTCCCACTTTTCCGCAATGGCATACTCTCAGGTGGGCGTTCCCGATGCGTGCCCTCCCATGAGCCTGCCTGCTCCCAGGCCCACTTGCTGCCAGAGGCAGCCCTGTCTGTATACCTCACTGAGATTGGAGAACCATGCTGTCTTCTACTCGGTGCCTCTCTCATCAGAGAGTCTGGACTCTTTCTTGGACTTCTACTCTGTGGACTATGCTGCCTAGCTCACCAGGAAGTGGCAGAAACCGAGGCCACATTCCCCTACACTCCTTCCTTTCTGTTTCCACGTCTTCCTAATTCTGAAATCATCTGGATCTGTGATTACAGACACAAGATTTCATGCAGAAGTGGAGACACATGATGAACGAATGGGAGGAAGACAACGGATTCGAGTACAGGGGCCTCTGTGGTACTACTATTATCTTAACACATTAACTGTCCATAAAACAGGGAAGCCTGTGAATGCCTGCATGGCAATCAGGTATATATGCATACAGACTTGGTTACTTGCCTTCACTCCGAGATGTCACACATCTGGGTATGTATTAAATGATAAGAATAAAAAATAATGTGAACGCAACACTTTAAATCACAGCTTGATTGTCAGGTATGTGCAAATCAGAGCAACTGTCAGGACTGTGATAAGAATGTGATTTTGTCACTGAGATGGAAGCCATGTCCTTCCCCTCCTAACTCCTCACCCGTTGTCTGGCTGAGACTCAGCTTCAAACCCCTCACATTCAGGCATAATTGCACAGTTTTCAAAGGAAAGCCTTCTGGACATAATTTTTCGTTAATTTATTTTTAACAAGAGAAAAACAGGTGATAACCTTTAAAAATAAGTAAATGGAACTGCTAGCAGAAGAAACATGAGGAGAATGAATTAATCTTTTTCCTTATTTTTTTCTTAACTTTTCCCTGAAACCGTGGTAATTTTTTCTCTGAGTTTTTGTTTGTCTTGTTAACACCATGGACAGGCATTTTATGCTAATGCCAGACAAGAGCAGGGCCCCTAATTAAACTTGGATCACCCGAGGCAGCCTCAGGAGGGCTCAGGAGCACAGAGGAATATCTGCCCAGGACACTCTGTAAAAGATGAGTGGTTTTGACCATAGTTCAAACTACACCTTAGTGAAGGCATTTTAATTAAATTCATTATATAACACTGTGGAGATCTACTATATGCTCGGCCTCATAAAAAGCCAGACATATCCTTAACATTTTTCTATCTTGGGAAACAGTAGGATGGGATGGGATTGAGAAGAGTGAGGGATCTTCTTTTTAATATATACTTATTTTATTTAATTATCACTATATCCGTATGGCATTATGTTCACATCTAGGTCTTGCAGATTAGGAAACTACAGTTCAGAAATGTCTGGGAAGGAGGCCTAAGCCACACAGCATCTTGATAGCTAAACTTGCCTTCAGTTAGCCAAAGAGAGATTCATGTAGATTTCTGTGGGGTTTCAGGAGGGATAAGACTTTCCTGTGCTAGGGAAAATGGCTTGTGGAAGAGGTGGTTATTCAGTGACAACTTCAAAAATATAAAGGGATTTGATTAGAAAGGAGGAAGGGGATTGCTAGTGAAGAGAACAGCATGATGTGGAAAAGGAGAAGAGAAAGATGACAAGATCCATTCTTCTATGTCACTTTGCTCTTTCATACAGAATCCCTCCAAGGGTGACAGCTCCAAATCTCACTCGGGGGCTGCCTCCAACCTGAAGCAGGAGATCTCCTGGGCATGGGAGAAGCTGGGCATGGCTCCTCTGGTCCTCAGCCTGCTGACAGAGCGATACAAGACATCCGCCTTCTCATCGTACCTGGGATGCAGTAGCAGGACACAGAAGGGAATCTCATACTTGATTTATATTTTCCAGGGCAATAGAGGAACCACAGAAGAGTTAATGTCCCATAGAAACTCTGAAATCCTGCAGAGAGGGCCAAAAAGTAGTCAAAAGTTCCCTAGCATGAGGAGCTGGTCATTCATTAGACTCTTCTGCTTTCTGAAACAAACATATCTGTCCACTGTTCAACTTGACCCTAGCTCTGGGGCAGATATTTTCTTATATAGCCAAATTTGAAATTGGATTTCAGGGATATTAGCTCCTTGAGAAACCTTTTATCACTGCTCTTGACTTCTGAAAGTCTTCTTGTTTCTTCATAACAAAAATAAACTAATTTGAGAAACACACAGCACTGGATCTGCTAAAACAAGAGCCAAAGGTAGCATTGCAGCATCAAATCAGAAGGGTTGGGTAGAGCATAGTTTGCCAGCACTAATAAGTATCTGAATTTCCTGTCTCCCTAAACATATAGGCTAACAACTTTGAGCACCTTAGAGACAGGTCTGTACCATGTAACTGAGATGGAGCCCCATGCTTAAAATGACATAAGCCACATCCTGAAAATGAGTCCATACTTGAGGGCAGGGACAGAATACACGTGCTCACTCTTAGAGGAATTTTTACAAAACAAACTAAATCTAAAGTATTCTGTCACTGACACCTTAATACACTGGTAAATATTTCAGTTGGAGGAATTAAGCTAGCCCTAACTATAATAATGGACCTATCAAGTTCATGAAATAATTTTCCCCTCTGATTAAAATAACCGCTTCTAAACTCAAATATGGGTTTGTCTTTCAGCTCAGGATTTGGAGAATGAGCAACTGTTGAGATATTGTCATGTATCAGGTGCTTTAAATGTTTAAAAGTATTAAAGTCTAGATTATAAAATCTATTTAAATGAGTGAAGAGAGTTAAATAGATATGCTGACAAAACAAAGATAATAAATCTTAAAGCCACATTTCATTGTTTACTTCTTCATTTTATTTACAGATAACTTCTATTTTCAGATATTTTGTTTAAAAAGTTAGTATTTCAAGACATGCTGTAGATTAAGAACTAGGTCAATGCCTTTTATTCCCCTATAATATATAAGGATTATACATGCTCAAACTTACTATGGCCTGATAGAATGGAGAATATTTCACTTGGCCCTTGGCTGTGGATTTGACCAGTGACTCACTTGGCTCAAGTCTTATTCTAGACAACACAAGCGGGTGTTAGGTATCTGTGTGATTAGACCTACCCATTTTTTATTTTTGTTTCTGTGAAAAATTCATGTAACATTTTGCCCTTCATCCTCAAAGAATAGGACAAGTGGGCTAGACCTGGACAGAATTCACCTTGGGAGCCATGTTCAAGCCAGATGAATCATACTCTAACTAAGTTGCCAACATGAATGGTAAAAGTAAAAGTTAAAGCACTTATGCACCGAATTTGGTGATGTGGTCTTTCCCATTGCAGAGATATTGTCTTCCTACTTGTTTTTCTCTCCAAAATAGCAACTACCTAAGAAGAATGTTCAGTAGATCCTCAAGTTATGACAGGCCTGACATACGAACAACTTGGATCACAAGTGGAATTTTAGTTTTAATTTATGACTAATATCTTGAGTTATGACCTGAATTGCAGCCACTTGTGCTTCCAGATGGTCTCAGATACAAATTTCACCCTTAAAGAGTTTTGGAAAGAAGTTTACAACATCCTTTCCTGTGTGGGGTTAATTGAAATATCTTGGGCCAATGTGTCTCTAAGGACACTGAGATCTGCCTGTATATAGGAGAGAGAGGGCAATGTAGAGGAGCCACAACCTTCAGTTGACCAACTGGAATTACAACCAGCCCTGGAGAGCAAATTAAGTTTATAAGTCAAGGGTCTACTGTATTTATCTTCTTACCTATGCTACTTTGGGCCGGATATTTAGCTCTGGTGCTGCCGCCTGGCTTGCAGACACAAGGTCCTGATTTCAATCCCTGGTACCAAAAAACCAAAAAAGCCCAACAAACAAACAAAAAAATCCTTATTACTTCTCAACCTTTTGGCTAAGATCAAGTGTAGTACAACAAAAAAAACTGTTACTTCCATCTTTGGTCAAATAATTGTCTAGTGGCTGAAAGGTATCATGGACTAGGTCCAGTGATCCCTAGGATGGTCAAAGACACAATAATGCTTTTTGCTAAAATCACACAATACTGTAAAAATTTTGTAACACTGGATGTATGCATAGAAAATTTTCCTTTTCTGCTCTTTCAATATGAATTCTACTCATCACACAGAGGAAGATGTAATTTTTTTTTTTAAAAAAAAAGCTTTGAGAAATCCACTTATCATGTCCTGAATCTTCAGATTTCATTTATTGTACCTTAAGAAAGGGCAAGGGTAAAGCTGACATTGGAGTACATGGGCCCCAGCTAAGAGAAACACACTCCTCTCACTGGCAGAAAAATGCTAATACTTGGTAAATTAGAACACGGGGCTAATGCGTACCAAGCTCTGAAGGTGCATGAGAGTAATTGCGATTCAACGGTGCATTAACATCTATATTGGAATGCAGATGGACTGAAAAATTGGGTGGATGCTTACATCTTAACTTAATACCAAGTCAGGTTGAAGAAATATAAAACATATTTTCTTGTGGAAACTGTTTAATCAGCATCTCTGTGCTTCTTCCTCCGAATTAATATGCTTAAGCTGCTACATGGTTCCCATCATCAACTTGGTTCCTTTTAGCAGAAGGAGCTTATATTTGCATGTTCCTGACAGTTTGCTCCATACTTGGCAAAGAATTGTCAAATACTTAAGCATCTCTATTAGAGCATTTTCCTGATTGTGTCTTATTTTTCCTTCTTATGACATCCACCCACCCACCCACCCACCCACCCACACACACACATTAATGATACATTATTTCTAATTGATTTACCACCAACTAGAATTGTCCCTCCAATATGAAAGCTTTAAAGACATAATTTTAAAATAAATTCATGAGTAGAAATAATTCTATAAACAGTCTTGAGACATAGATAAGAGTTGTGGGAAGGCAGATGCATTTCCAAGTGAAACTTCCATTTTCACTTCTGTTGCAGTAGATTTCTTTTCAAATACAATGCATTAAGTCCAAACCTAATAGAAAAAAAGTAATAAAAATAAATAAATATTTTCGAACATAATTATGAAGTAAAGCAAATACCAAAATAACCTGGAAGTAATATAAGCCATGTTTTTCTTCTCCCTGTTATGCCCTCAAACTACAAACTAAATTACACAGTGTACTTTAATCTCTGGCATTGTCCAAATTATAGCAAGCAATTCAGAAATGTTCATGCATAATTTACTAAAGACTTCACTGTTTAGTATATTTGTCCTAATTTAATAACTTCCCCGAGTTATAATTTGACTTTTAATATATTATGGTTATTGACTTTTTAAATATATTGCTGTTATTTATTAAATTTTTAATTAGTCTAAATATTGCTTTTGGCAGACTCCAAAAAAATTTCAATAACAAAAATGGACAAAAGGAGCTACCTTATGTTTATCACATCTTTTTAAAAGCCTTTGAAAATTCACTCAAGTACACAAGTTGTACACACATACACACACGCACACACGCACATACGTGTTATGACCAAAGAAGGAAATGAGTTAAGGTCTATAAGAGAAGCAACTATGGTGAAATTTACAGAATACTCTCTGGTTAAAATTCTGTCCCAAGGAGTAATTGCCTACTTTACAGAAAATGCTCAACCTTTTATGGAATACATTTATGTTTTGGGGAAACATTTGTTTTTATTTCTTTTTCCTAAAAGTAAGTTTGAATTTCACAGCAGGAGGTAAGGCAAAGTTGGGGCTTTATTTTCATAAACATACAGTGTCAACAAATAGGATCATCCAAAAGCCATTCATTGTAATATTCATTACAAGGCCTTTTATTAATTCACCACTTCATTTTCCCACTTTATACATCAGTGTTGCCAGTTTATGAACCAAAATGTATTTCTGAAGAGATAACTTAGCACCTGGTACTTAGCAAGAAACCAGTAAAGATTTACTGAATTACCCTATGAAATGTTTAGTAAATACTTAGGAAATAAAATGCATTTATATATTTCTCTTCAAAATACCTCCTGCTTTAGCTCTCATGTTTAAAAATCTAGAATCATCCATCTTTGTTTATAAAATGAAATCCAAACTCCTTTGGGCATAATCTCAGTGCTGTTTACTCTCTAGTCACTTTCTCTCCTACCCAGTTAATTCTGTAACCACATGAATGGACACCTTATCATTATACCTTTCATGCCATTTATCTTTTCTCATGTTTTACTGTCTAATAGAAAGATATCATTTTGTTGCTAGAATTATATACAAAAACAGAAACAAAAAAGAGAAAATACATCATCTGAAACTTTTGCTACAGAACCAAGAAAACCAGCCTCTGTGAGAACACAAGAGCTTACAAGTAGGGATAGATCTCTCATGGTAGTTCTCATGCAGTGGCATTGTCATTTTTCTTTCGGGATAAATGTCTTATTAAGCATGAAATGTCTTGAGAATTGGAGACATCCACATTTGTACCAGCAGCACCCAATGCAGTACATTTACATAGTGGTTACTTGATGAATAGTTGTTAGATTTAAATTTAACATGGATAAGTATATACTAAGGGCAGTCAAACCTTGGATTGAGAGTAACTTGGTCTGCAAGTGTTCTGCAAGATGAGTAAACATTGCTAAGAAATTTTAACTTGTTAAACTAGCAATGTGTTACAACGTGAGTAGCACGTTCAACACGCCAAATGGCACATGGCACATGATCACAACTATTCTCTCTCATTCTGTCTCTCTCTTCCTGATATGCAACTGTTTTGAATTAGTAGTGGAATGAATTATTCTCACAAAGCAAACTTTTACTATATGGTTGTATTGGTATTGAAATACAACATAAAGATCCAGAAGTACCTATTCAAAAGAACCAAAGACAAAAGTGTATCTTTGTACACTATAAAGAAAAAAAAGTGAATGTCAGAGAAAGGTCAAAATGTGCACAAGTGACCTTCAGAGAGTGCAGTTCTAATTCTTTTTCTTTTTTATTCCTTCTTTATTTTGTAAGTTGGCCCCACAGGTCAGCCTCAGTTGAGGAGATGGTAATAGTGGTGCTGGCTAAAACTAAAAAAGAACCTACATGTAAATGGCCAGAGGGGAGAAAAACAAAAATGAGCCACGGAAACTGGAGGATGTGGGGGATAACTGCAGATTATTTGTAGCTGGAGAGATGGGTTGGCTAAAACTGTGCAAATATTCGAGCCTCATCTCTGAGGTATACGAATGTGAAAGAGATCCAAAACAGTGAAACACAGATTTGGAGATTTGAACCTCTGCCCAATCTCAAATTAACTTCACAATTATAAAAGCATAGAGAAGAACTAAACCAGCGAACCAAAGGCTTAAGGATCATCACTGTTACCAACATTGAGGACTTATGTGTCAGACTATCTTCTGCATTTGAACACACAAATCAAACTCAAACTTGCAGAAACACGCCTAAGATTTATGTCACCATAGAAAGAAGATGAGATGGACTTTGAGATCTGAACCTATGGGTTGATGTCTTACAAGAGCAAAACATCAGCATTCTGTGTAGGATTATAATAGGACACAGCAGTTACATGGAATTGCTTTCACAATATCTACATTAATTTTTTGGAGTTCTGGGTTCCTTAATTTTTTTTTTACCTTGAGCTCATAATACTAAATGAAATAAATCAGAAGCACAAGCTTAAATATTACAAGATTTCTCTTATATGAAAAACCCTTAATAGAAGAAAAAGCAAAGTAAAAGTTTAAAAAAATAAGAAGATGGATCTTTTGAAAAGGGAAAGAGACCAAGAGATAGAGTGAGGTTGGAGGCAGGGGGTGAAAAGAGATTTAAGATGTATTATCTACAGGTACCAACTCC